GCCTTCGTGTAGCTTTGCACGAAATTCAAAAACAAACAAACAATTATACTTTATCATGGTAGACAATAATGCTCGTTCCAGTCGCGCATCTACCCTCTCTGTCAACTTAATTATTTCAAGCCATTACCCTCCAAAAAGGGAGGTTAATATAATTTGTTCATTGGACACTGGGCAATTTTATTCATATGTTGTACTATATATATATATATATATTTAAAATTGAGAGAGACAGTCAATCGTTTCGAACACGTTCTCTGAAAGATTGAAATTTGTTAAGAGTCTAAAAAAGTTTCAAGATTCTCGTGACTTCTGTGAACACGTATCCGAAATCTCTCGCGAATCGAAGAAGTTAAACGAGAAACTATTGTCAGAAAGCTGTCCAGTATTTTCTCAGGACTTCAATTTTACAAACTAGACACAATAGATTAGCTAGAAAACAACCGAGTGAGTTGATTGCTGAACCATTTCCCACACGTCTATCCTCTGAATCGTACAGGGTATGCATGGACATTGCAGAACTGTGTTAGCCGATCGGTGTAGAATTATTTTCTGTTAAGGTGGAAATAAACATTCTAAACACTCTGTAATTTACGGTATAATCTGAACCACGCTATGGCTACAGACACTTACAAATTAAGAGACGCGTCAGGGGACGTTGCAGGACTGTTCCATGTTCACATAGTTTGGTAAGTAACGAATTTTGTTCAAGCAACAAACATACTTCACTTTCATTAATAATTTTAGGTATAATTTAGCCACGTGAAAAATATACATGTACCATTTAGTTTTCTAACCCATAATTTATCTTTTCAAATATATATATATATATATTTTGTTAAATCCGCAATACAATAATAGGTCTGATAGTTTATAAGAACTTAATGAGTAAAAGTAAAGAAGGATGTAATAATATGTCAAACGCTATATATATCGGCCGTATACAATGCTGACGAGGCCTTTCGCTTAATACCAGGGCTCATCGTGTCTGATCTGTAATTCAGTTCTATATCACATGTATATATAGCCCCCCAGTGGCACAGCGCTATGTCTGCGGAGTTACAATGCTAAAATCCGGGTTTCGATACCCGTGGTGGGCAGAGCACAGATAGCCCATTGTGTAGCTTTGTGCTTAATTACAAACAAAGAACATGCATTTGTAGACGTAAATTAGTTGTACTAAAAACAAGACACTGAAATAACAATGGATTGGAATTATATCATCTGAAAAAAAAAGAACACTGTTTGTTTTTTAACAAGAGGCTGTTTTTACGACCAGGAACATTATTCTCACACCATTTCAGTATTTTGACAAAAATATTTAATTAAAAATAGCAATTTCCGGTTAAAAAAATCGTCATAACTTCATCGCTTACCATAACCTACACGAGAACGTGAGTTACGGGATGAACAGAATCTTTGCAATCTCTTGACCTAGCTTCCCGATCACGACATTTTGATTTCATGGTTTGTTGGAAAAGTAGGCTGTTAACAAAATGTCACGCTTGTTTTCTTATTTTTCCTTTTTATCTCTCTTTATTTTTCAAGAATTTCCAAAATTATTTTAGAATTATCAAAGTGCCCTCATCGTATCTTTGGCTGTGGGAATAAATTTCGAAGGTTAGTTAGTTTATTTTTTAGGCTTAGTTCCACCGATTTATATTATAATCCGTTTGTTCTATCCTTTAATATTAGAAAATTTATTTTCCCTAGTACTTTTGTCTGATGGAATTTATTGACTTTTCGTACGTATATGTGATTAATTTAATCTATGTATATCCGTAGTTTATACTCTTTTGGAGAGTAATTTAATAAAGCGAAAAAAAGAAGCCTATTTCATAACGAAATTCTTTTTGGTTAATGACACTCATTATTAGCATAACTACTGCAGATTTGCCTAAAGCAGGAATTTTTCTATCTTATAAGGGAAGACACTTGTCTGTCGACACAAATAAAAACGTGAAATAAATTCTGATTGTGCTCGAGTTGAAATGTTACTACTTAGTAAGTTGTTACGTGATTTTACCTTTTGAGTAATAACATCAGTCTCATCATTGTGTCGCTACAAAATATACTTTATTTGTTTGTTTTTTCTCTTTATCTAAAGGAATTGATTCAGACAGAGAAAAGATTAAAATGAAATTACAAAAATGTCTTTATGGTGTTTCATGTCTTACAACGAACAAAATGTTGTTAAAAGTTTGTATTAAGCAGT